CAATGGCTGGTATGAAGTTCATTCTTACCGTGGCTAATAAACCATCGTGTTTATGGAAATTAAATATCCTGTCTCTAAATCTAAGGCATCTTATATATTTTCAATCTGCAAAACTAATACACCTTTTGCAAATTAGGCTTTGAACCACAAGATCAGTCCCTCCATAATGTTATTGTCATATGCTCTTTTCATGGATCACCACTGTAATGTGATGGGGAGGCTTGTGTAATCTGATAATGCCATGAGCAATACTGTCAGGAGCTCTTTGCTCTAGGAGGGATCATCCTTGGTCAGGGAAAGATCAGGGTGAGGTGCCAGACAAAGTGCAGTTTGAAGGGCCTCAACGGCAGAACAAGTGAAGGAAGATTCTCACTTTCTGGGAAGGAGTAAGGACGTTCCAGCACGGTGCTTTACCAAATCTCTGAAATCTGATAACTAACCTGTGGGAGGCAGTGATGATGTTTGAAGATCCCCCATGTTAAATGACCTTGCAGACTTCTGACAGGGTCTATTTGCCAAGTCCTAATAGCAATGGAGAATTGGCAATGTGAACAAGGCTGTGAATCTGGGAGACCTTAATCCGGAATGCGCACACAAGCCATACATGCATGAAGGTTGTTAGACATCTGTTGTTGGGATGATGTCTCTCCAAGGAGCAGAGTCGGTGACTGAGCCAAGCTCTTCAGGACAACATCTGCTCACCCCAAGTGAGCAGCGGGGTGAGAAAAGGTTCCCAAAAAATAAGCTGTCCTACTTTCTCTTGTCTAGGGAGCCACACCTTGCAGGAACTGTACCCAAATGTAACTTTAATACAATAGTGTAAAACAGTTGGTATATATCAAAACATCAACAATTTTAATGAAGTGAAATGCTCACTTCATTGACCTGCCTTTCATTTCAAAACAACTACACCCAGTTGAAATGAAACTATAATTTAAAAAATCTACAGCAAACTCACCTCAGTCGTGGTTGAAGAAAGAAAGCTCATGTTCGAAAGATATCTTCAACTGGAAAGGAAAAGCTGACAGTGACCCTCAATCCCACAGAGTGGATTTTGCCACCTAGGAGTTGATGTTGAATGCATTGCCAGAAGCCCCTTACTTTATGAATGAAATACTCATGACACCTCATGTACAGTTGAGCTGCAACCAACATTCCACCCTCATTAGGTACTGGCCCTTCACTCCGATGAAGAAGTTAAAGAAAAGTTCTATTCTAATGTAGACCATTATACTAACCATCCTATCACGCAAAGCCCTTTTTGAAACCATGAGGGTCAAAATCCTCTTCACTCACAAGGATGGTGTTTCTCTTAAGGATGACAATGCCATCCATCAAGTTTAGAATGAATATTTTCAACAACTCCCCAGCTATGATTCCACAATGGTAGCTTCTATTCTCCAGGCTATTCACGAGAATAGCCTAGGATTTATGTGCCCTGTGGTAGAATCCAGTGTGAGTCAACAGCAACAGGATAGCTGAGATAAATAATCAAACAGATGAAACACTGCAAAATCTGCGGCCAGCAATGCTATTCCAGCTGATGTCTTCAAAGCTGGTGAGCTTTTTGTTCACAGCTAGACTGCACACAATCATCCCATGGTTATGATGAAGGGTCTAGGCCCGAAACGTCAGCCTTCCTGCTCCTATGATGCTGCTTGGCCTGCTGTGTTCATCCAGCTATACACCTTGTCATCCCATGGTTATGTTTGGAAAAAGATTCCAAGCACCCAATTCAAATAGCAGCAATAGAAAGACTATTTAGCAACAAGACAACAGAACAGGAAATGGAGTGGATCAAAACTAATTTGATAAGAATGGAATAAATAGCAGAAGAGTGGAAGTCTGACACTTCAGGAATAGATGCAGTGCAAAAAAGAGTACAGTTCAAGTAAACAGCCATGGCCAAAGTGGAGGTCTACTAAAACCAAGAAACCAACAGAGAAATAGGAACACAGTGTGGAGCTGGAGGAACACAGCGGGCCAGGCAGCATCAGAGGAGCAGGAAAGTGGATGTTTCGGGTCAGGACCCTTTTTCTCAACCCAAAACGTCAACTTTCCTGTTCCTCTGATGCTGCCTGGCCTGCTGTGTTCCTCCTGCTCCACACTGTGCGGCCTCTGACTCCAGCATCTGCAGTTCTTGCTATCTCAAAGAAATAGGGAGTCACTTCCAGATCCTAACAAAGTATTAGCATTAGAGTATTTTGACAATTGGTGTTTTTAGGAGGTGACTTGAAGATTTATGATGCAGAAGCATGTATTTTGCCTTGCACATCACATCATGCAAATATTCATGTGGAATGTTTCATAGTTATGGGGAATTATTGATCAATTATGTGTAGCAATTATAACAAATTAAAATGTGAAAAATTTGCTTGACAATTTCTCCAAGATTGCTACTGGCAGGGCGTCTACTGAAGGACCAATTTCTTCTTTGGACAATTAAATCATTAAAGGTGGCAGGAGAGCATGGTTCATAAAGGACACATACCCTAAGCTTTATTAATAAGAGCATAGAGTAGCAGAGCAAAGAGATTAAGCTGAACCTGTATGAGACACTAGTTATTGTGTACAGTTTTGATGCATCTCACTTCAGAAGGGATAACAACGCATTTAGAGAGTGCTGAAGAAGTCTACCAGCACGGTTCCAGAGATGAGATACTTCAGTTATGAGGATAGAGAGGAGAAGGCTAAGACAAGATTTGATAGAAGTTTTTAAAATCATGTGGGGTCTGGACATTGTAGAGTTTTAAAGTGATTTAAGAGGAAAATGTGATATAAGAAAAAATTCGATCACACAGCGAGTGGTTTGTTCAAAGTTTGGTGGAAGCATGTTTAATCAAAGAATTTAATAGGACTTTAGACAATTATTGAAATAAAAACAATGTACAGGGTTACTGTGAAAGAATGAGAGAATGGTACTAAGTTATGCTGTTTGCAGCGAGGTGCTGCAAACACAATGGGCTGAGTAGGGTTTCCTTATATATTGTAAAAATTCTGTGATTCTTTGATGTAAACAGTTTTGAAGTATGTCTGTATAAAAGGATCACCAAACTTCATTAACAGAAATTAACAAATCGTATCAAAAGGACAGCTACTTAGAGGGCCAACTGAAATGCCAAAACTGGGGCTGAAATTCTAATATCTGCTAATTTTAGTAAAGAAGCAACAAGTTTGAAATGGTTAATGCCTGCTCAATATTCATGCTGACTTCTTCTTTAAAGTTAGTGACACTGCAATTTCATCCTCTCCATTAGTGGACAGCGCAAGCTATGTTTCATCCTTGCCATGATAGTGCAAAAAAGACTAACTCATAAAGGATCATTTGAGCATGATTATTGTTGTTGAGGAGAACATTTGGTATTGCGTTTGTTGTACATTAATACAGTAGCATTAAACTGTTAGTACATATCAAAGCTCCAATAATTTTAATCAAGAAAAGTGGTCATTTCAGTGACGTGCCTTTCATTTCAAAACAACTGCACCCAATTGAAATGGAACTGTAATTTGAAAATCTACAGCAAATTCTAATGCCATATGATTGACAAGTGGTGCACATGGATTTTTGTAGGGTAGTGAAAGTGTAATGATTTATCAAAGCTTGAGTTCTATAGCTTAGTGCAAGAAATTCTGGCCTCGATGGTAAACTATTCATAAGTTATTTTCACCCTTTGATCTCATAAACTTTATATTTAACTGGGCTTCCTGAAATTGCTATGTGGATCAGATTTCAATTTTGAAAGAGATATTGACTGTGTCAGTGAAAGTCTACTAATCTTATTAACACGTGTGAAATTCAAATTTGAGCATGTGGATCCAATTCTCATTTTATGCAAATCAAAGCAAAATATGGCAGATGCTGGGTATCTGAAAGAAAAACAGAAATTGCTGCAGAACTCTAGCAGGTCGGGCAGCATCTGACCTTACACACCAAATTCAAGAGAGAAAATTCATCCTAATTCTCTCCCACTCAAAATCTCACACACACTGAGTTTTGTGGATTAAATGAAAAGACTCATCTATTCTCCATAATGAGTACTCATCGTGGACAGCAATGGTTAGTGTGTCCCAATGCCACATTGAAGGGTTATTACCTGTCATATTAGCACAAGTTTATACTGACAGTGAATAGTGAAAATTTATTTGGGCTGCTTATTAGTTATTCAGATTATTAAACATTCACTCAACTGAAGACCACGCTCCAGTGCAGAAACTGGTATATGCAAATGTGCATAAATGTGTGATTTTCATCCAAACCTGGTCTAACCTTGACAAAACAATGTCGTTCTCCTTAAGAATGCAACACTCCCACAGGAGATCTAAGGTATGCTTCTGACATTATATTGTTGGATGAAATGAAATGAAATGAAAAAGGACTTTGATAGAATGTCACTGTTCTTGGTGGAATCTGCAAAACCTCAAAGAGGGCTTCACAGGAAGGCAAATACAATGATTAATGACAGTGTCATCAGCTTACAGTTCACAGTTCCATTTTTGGAACTGATGGAAATCAGTCAATGCTGGACAGCAATTGTGTGAGAAATAAGGCCAATACCAGGCAGACATTACGTCACTTAGTGAAGCATGCAAAATCATGGAGACAAACGTATGTTTACACTAGAATAGCGTGATATCTTCTGATCTATTTTACTTCTGTGGCAGCTTTACATCTATCATAAACTTGTTATTCTCCAGGTTTACTTCAGACCATTATGGACTCAGAATTTAAGAACAATTTAAAAAGGTAGCAATATGTTAGGGCTTGGATTGTAAAAGCACGGTTAAAGACTCCAATAGCTGTAGCAACAAGAATATACAAATAATTCATCATTTTTAAATCAATTTCAACAATAAATAATTGAAAACAAAGCATCCTTAAAAAATACTTTATATCAGATTAAATGCAAGTAACTGCAGTGATTGTAACGAGGTCAGCCAGGTGGACCTCATAGAATATGAGTTCCTGATTGGGGCTGTTAACCTGGTCCAATCAGGGATCCCTGGCTGACAGATATAGACAGGAATGTCAGGGGTTCTGTTCACTCAGAGCTGGCTCTAAGGGAGTAGGATCAGTGTCAAAGACTCTCCCTGTGTAACTAAAGAGTGACTTGATGATGGAATACTGGCCTCTGTGAAGTTAATTCATTAACATGGTGTAATAAAAATAAATACCATATTTATACTGTACTGAATGGATTCAGATTGGTAGTTGGACAGATAAAAAGTGATTCCAAGAAACGGCATACCAAAAAAAAATTTGACAAGTGAAAAACAAAGAAACAATTCTTCATCAATTTGAGTGGTCTGAAATGTGCTTATTGCCAAACATGCCTAGCACATGGTAACAGGTTGTGATGTTAAACAGGTTTCCGATGAAGTGATCTAGGTTGTTTCTCATAAGCATTTAAACCAAAGCAGGGGAGAGACTTAGCACCTGCAGAGTCAGGGATTCAACACAAAACATTTCAGGACAAGAAATGATACATCTTGCAACTCGTATTCGTACTATGTCAGAAAGGTACCTTGTCAATAAGGGTGTTTTATGAATGCTTCTGCTTGCCTGGAGTTGGAATGAAGGGATGTGGAGGGGTAACTAATCAGAATTGTTCCAATGCAAACTGTCAGCATGATTCCAAAAAATACTCTGAAAGTAAATATTCCATTAAGTGTCATTGCTGCAAGATTCAATTTCATAACAGCAATCTTGTCTGTGTTTCAGTTTTTTCCATGGGTTTTCTTTCTCTGTACATCCAGAAGTTCTTTCAAACAACCGAAAACTTTACTTCCTTGCGAAAAAGGCAGCTAGGCGCTGTTTTTTTATTGGAAGAACATGGAAATCCTGCGAACTCATTTTCTTTAATTTTATGCCTCTATTTTTATTACTTTTTTTGCCGTCTCTGAGCTCGAGTTGTGATTTGACATCATAACATTGTAAAACAGATTCCTGTGACAGATCTGTCTTGTAAGAAAAGTTTTTCGTAGACACCCCAACAACAGTTTTTATCTTGCCACAGAGAATGGCTGGGCCAGCGTCCTTTACAGACACAATTACTTTCGCAGTGTCTGTGCTATTGAGGGTTTCAGCATTACTAGCGGCTCGCATGTCATTCCTCAGTCTGCCGTAGTTTTGATCCATCACCCACTTAGGCTGGCCAGAAAACTCGCAGCTATTAGATGTGCCATGTAGCACCGTCTCTAATTTCTGCGCACCTAACACTGGCACAGCGTTAGACCAGGCTTCACTAGAATGAGTCAGGGGCTCATTCAACAAATTAGTTGACAGATTAGAAGATGCATTACCTGGAAGGTTCTGACTCTCTTTCATTTTCTTGGGGGCTGCAACTGATAGATCCAGCACACCGTCCTGTTCAATCTGTTGATAAAAAAACTCATTTTTCTTTACAACAGATGTTCGCTTCATGGATAGATCCAGCGCCTCAGTCTCAGTGTTGAACTTATAGTTGACATGTTGATAGTCTTGCACTCCTTGGTGCTGGATGTACTCTGAGACTTTTTGTTCTTCTTTCTCATTTGACGTTTGGGTGCTCCTGCTTGTGGTGCCAGAGCTGCTGGCTTTTCTGGGCATATCCGTGAATCTGGCAGGATCTGGGTCCTTGGCCACAGGAATGGGAATGGGGATGGGAACGGGTATTGGGACTGGAAGAGGAACTATTATTGGATAAGGGACGAGAAGCGTAGCAGGAGGAACTAATGGGGAGAAAAGCCCACCACAGTTCTGGTGAGGAGAAGAGGAGAAGCTAGAGGCCATGTTCTCGGGGGCTGGTTGGACATTTGGTACTGGGGGTACAGTGCTATGTGAAGGGAAAAAGTCCTGGAGGACTGTAGCAAATCCAGGGATTTGAAGAGGAGGGGGAATGTCATACTCTTGTGTTTGACTTAAAGGTTTCTGACCCAGTGTTTGGGACTGAATGCAAGGCCCACTCGTCCCCTGAATAATGTGGTTCTGGACAGAGTTCACAGGGCTTGCAGTAGGTGAAGCCAGCAGCAGAGGAGAATTTAAATGCTGAATCAAGTGTTGCTCCAGTAACACAGACAGTGGCATTGCTCCTTGATTAGTCATTACCCATGGTGCGTTACCACCCGCAGGTATCTGGGGTGCTGAGCTCCCAGCCACTTGCAAGTGGATGGGTAGGACCATTGGACTATCTCCTAAGCAAATTGGTTGCAGTACGGTAGCAGCTACTTTAAGTGATACTCCATTTGGTGGGTCAGTTTGCGGCGTCATAATAGAAGATGCTGGAACGGCTACTAAGGGAGAAAGTGCTTTTTTCATAAGTCCTGTTGGATTGATATTCCAGGCTTCTGCAGTGATGAGCTGGGTCACTCCATTCTCCAGTTTATTGTTCGCAATAGTAGGGGACGGAGAGTCTGTCACATCCACGGGCAGGTTAGACTGAGCCTCTTTGTAAAATCGATCCATTTTATGCTGGTTCAGGCATTTCATACTACAGAACTGAAGCTTGCTTTCACTGTCACTAGTGTCTACATAGTCTTTGGTGTGGTGGCTGTGTCTGCACCAATCACAGACCTGGAAGTTAAATTAAAAAAAAGTCTTTATTAGTTTTAACCTTTTAAAAACTGCCTCGCCCAATATAGCAAGCTTTAGAAGTTGTGCAATTGTTTGATACAACACAATAAATCCTCAACAGCTTAGAATATCATAACCAAGCCACATTGAAAGATGTTTGTTTTTTCTCCTGAACTGATTTCTATGTTTCCTTGGTTATTTTTGATCGACCCAAAAAATGCATCAACCCAGTCAAAAGACAGGACAGAATATCCACTTACATCTCCCCACCAATGTCTCATTGAACTTGTCCGGTGTGACTATGAGACACATTTATTGCAAAGTTCATAAGAAATCAATTGAAAGAAAGTGGTTAGAATGTGAAAGAGGTAGTTACAGCAATTAGCACACATCAGGGAGCAAGGAATAGGAAGTGACGTTGAGGAAGTGAGGTAAACTGGAGTGGGAGGATCATACAGAATAGGATCTCCAGCATTGGCCAAAACAGAACATGCTAGAGAAACTCAACAGTTCAGGCAGCATCTGTGGAGAGAGAAAAATAAGAGTTAATATTTCAAGTCTGATATGACTCTTCTTCGGAGCTGAAGGGGGCTGGAATAACTCATCTGTCACCTGGTGAGTAGAAGCACTGGCTGGTATGCCCATGGCAGATACAGAATAGGATGGTTCCAGCTTCAACCCACCCATGTGCCCAGTTAACTCTTCTGGGGCAACAGCATGAGGTTTAGAATTGGTCTTGCTGGTCCTAGGCTATGAAAAGGAAGGATAGGGTTTTGTTCCCTATTTACTGACATTCCCTGCACAGCAGGAGAGGCAGGAGAGGAAATGATCACAGTTTCCTGCTCTGGCTACTGTGTTTGTCCAACCTCTGAACACTCATTGCCTGCATATACATACGGGCTATTTGATAAGGTGTTGATGGACTGCAAGTGTCTGTGGAACTACATCCCAATATGTTAACAACAGCAGTGCAGAAGACTTGAGCTCAAAACAAATTGAGGAATTTATATGCCTTTCGTTTTGGCAGGTACTGGATGATATAATGGCATAATACTTAGCACAGGTTATCATAATGATAGAGGGGTGAATGATATCATCAATTAGATTTACAGATGACAAAACACTTGCAGTAAGTAGGAGATGGTTGAGTGTCAAGTTCCTGTAAGTGATGATCTGTCCTGGTCCTCCCATGTTGACATTACAGTCAAGTAAAAACAACAATGCCTCTACTTCCTCAGGAGGCTAAGGAAATTTGGCATATCCACAAAGATGCTTACTAATTTTTATAGATGCACACACGGCAAACATTCTATCCAGATGCATCACAGTTTGTATGGCAATTGCTCTGTCCAGGATCATAAGAAACCACAAAGAGTTGTGAACACAGCCCAGTCCATCACACAAGCCATTCACTGACTCCATTTACACTTCTCACTGCCTCAGGAAGGCAGCCAACTTAATGAAAAACCCCTCACCTGGTTATATTCTCTGCCAACCTCTTCCATCAGACAGAAGATACAAAAGCTTAAACATATGTATCAACAGATTCAAGAACAGCTTCTTCCCCACTGTTATTAGACTTCTGAATTGACCTATCAAATTTTAAATTTAATTTTGATCTAGCTCTCTGTGTTCCTTCTCTGCAGCTGTAATATTGAATTCTTTGCTCTGTTCTTTGATATCAGCAGATGGAAGGTGCGACAAAAATAAGAACAAGGATAACAATGCAAA